TTACTAGTTTTACTAGAAAATTAGTGAATTTGACCGCGCTTCGCGTGGTCGTAAAATGATAAGTTATCTAAATTAATTATACCCTCTTTTTATGAAAATAAAATAACTTTTAAACAATATATATTTGAGTAATTGATAAATGTAAATTATTTAAAAGATGGTGGCGAATTAAAAAAAAACATAAGTTACAAAAATAAAAAGAAAACGAATAAAATGAAAAGAACGAAGATAAAATTATCAATAAAATAAAATAACCAACTTTCTTTTGCCTATAGAAGGCACTACTACATCATCACTCCTCTATAAATCAATTTTATACAAATTACAAACATCAATGAGTTTACCAAATAAAATTCATACGATATCAAAATGAATTCATTCATCAAATTATCTAAAGAACACAAATAAAAGTATTTTTATTTATAATTTCTTTGTTATATGATACTAACACATAGTATTGATAAATTTGTTAAGTATAATATCTACAAATTTTAGTCTTTAAGTGTTTACTAATATTTTTTAATGTATTCAATTATATCTTTTATTTATTTTGTTATATAATACTATATACCAAGTTTTTTTTTTTACTATATACCAAGTACTTATCAAGTTTGTGAAGTATACTTTTTTGAAAATTTAATCGTCATTAATATATTTGTATGCATCTAACCCTATAGTTTCTTTTATTTGAGTTTAATAAAATAAAACATGAAATAAACTAAAAAAAGAAATAGAACAAAAAGGAAATGATACAATCTAGTTTTTTTTCCCCTTATACATTAATTATGTATCTTTCTTAATTATAACTTTTATTTTCAAAGTTCTCTCTCAAAATAAAACCATTTCCTTTCTTATTCAATTTAATTTCTTATTATTTTCATACAAAAATGATTGTCTCAATTACTACTCCTTCATTTATTTATATACTTTAATATAAAATTTTAATTATCTATTTCATAATTCATATTATTTTTATTGTTATTTTATTTTGTTACGGTATATATATATACTCCAATAGAGGTTTTCTTTTTTCTCCATTCCTTAAGTAATTTTTTTCTTGATTTCTCCACTTTATGTACTAACTAATTAAATTAATAAATATTTTATTCCTTTGTAAGAACTAATCCACGTATATTAGAGAAGTGACCTTCTAATTCAGTCCATGACTATATTAGAGAAGTGACATTCTTATTCTACTTATAATGAATAAAAATTAAAATACCCTCTTTTAGTGTTTTAAATAATATCTCCTGTCATTTAAATAATTTACTATTATTCTCTATAAATTTAGGGAGAATATATATGGAACATACTAAGACTTATATATGAAATAAAATAAATGAATCATTCTTTGAATAGTAAATTTTAATTTGGTAAACATACTGACACTTATATATGGAACAAAATAAATGAATCATTCTTTAAATTTAAATTTTAGTTGGACAATATTATATATATGGAACATACTAAGACTTATATATAGAAACAAAATAAATGAATCATTCTTTGTATATTAAATTTTAATTTGACATTTAATTTGACAATCATATATATATATATATATATATATAAAAGAGAACCTTAATCCCGCCTACGTGGCGCCACCAGAAATCAGAATTCCCTGTTAATTTATTTATTTCCAAAACTAACCTTTCCCTTTCATGAAAAGTTGTGACTTTAATGAAGAGCTGCGACTTTTATGAAAAGTTGCGACTTTTATTTAATGAAGAGTTGTGACTTTAATGAAAAGTTGCGATTTTTATGAAAAGTTGTGACTTTTATGAAAGGTTGTGACCTTTCCGAAGGGCTGCAACTTTTCCAAATAGTTGTAACCTTTCTGATAAGGTTTAATAAACATTTGTTCACACTACCCTTTATTGTCTATAAATAGAGGGATTTCCTCTCATTTTAAAACAACGAAAATTCTGAACCTCCTCTTCTTCTTCTTTACAATTAATATTTGTGTACTTTTTTCATGTTGAGTGGCTCCCTGACACTATTGCTTATGTTACAGATCCTGGTATGTATTTTTACAATCATTAATTTATGCTTATGTTATTAAGGATAAATGATAAGATGTAATAATTTTCATTTTCCTTTGCATTATTAATGTTTATTACTACGTAATCTTGTATGTAAGATAATATAACGTTTTAGTTTTAATGACTGATAGGTTTTAAGTATTATCTTATAAATTTAGTGATAATAAGTTCCTGCACGAAGCGCGGGTAATTTTACTAGTATTATATATATGGAGCTTTTTTCTTTTTTCTTCTTTTTCTTGATATCTTTATTTTTCTTATCCCTCTTTATTTGTTTTCATTTTTCTTTGTCTCCCGCAGTACTTTATATATTTCCTTTCTGTCTCTTCTTAATGTTAAGCAAAATCCCTCAATATCAATTCTTTTTTGAAATATTGTCACTTTTTTGTCATACAAATTCAAAGTATTTCAATGAAAAAAAGGATAAGATGACAAATGAAGAAAAATAATTATAATATTCATACAAGGGTTTAGGTTGAAAATTATACCTATCAATTTAGTCGTAGATTGAGGCTAAAACTTCTTCAAAAGTTTCAATTCCTGCATCTTTTCTTCTTTTGCTTTACTCTCGAATGTCGGTCAAATTTCAAATGCTTAGCAGTAAAACAAAGAGTTGAACTGAAAATTCTTATTGAAATGATGACAAGAAGCAAATGATCTGGAGAATAACTAATCTTTTTGTTGAAAGCTTATAATGAAAATACAACAGAAAAGAGAAATTTATAAACTAAACTCTAAATCTATAACTGACTCCTAAAAGTAGTATAACTTGAATCCTAAAAATGTGCAAAAAATATTCCCATATCAAAGTACGGATATACTTTGTTATTGACTCTAGCATATCCCAAAAATATAGGAACAAACACCTAGACTTGGTAAAACTCAGTAAAACAATGAAACCAATAAATAATATACACTAATTTCATTTGTAATAAGCAGTAGCCCGATGATTCCTTTTGTTATATCACGTAAATGGTGTTTGATATCTTAAAAGGTGATCAATGAAGAGTTATCCTAATCCAACATTACTACAAGAACGCAAGATAGTAGTGTTGATCATGCATTGAGATTATAAAATAATCTTGAATCGCTATGGTCTTTTCTCTTGGACTCATTCTTTCTATTCTACCTACTTTTGCAAATTTATACTGCATAAAGTTTATATTGATTCATGAAAAAACTAAGATGGTGAATATATTTTGTTTATATAGTTGTTTTCTCATTTTAATGGTACCTTTCAAATTCTATAATTAAATAATGCAGAATTATTATGTTGTAACTGATAAAAATAAAGAGGTTTTTCTTATTATACATGGTAAGGATTAATTTTAACATTGATATTTTTTTGTGAAGGTTTTAAATAAGTAAAAACATTTGGACATTTGTTTACAATAATATTCTTTCATTATTCAGTCTTTAATGATGAATTAAGAGAGGTCATAAATCATTCTTGATTACTATACGACTTGATTATGTATTTATTGGATGAGTCTTTTATTAGTTTATTTAATTAGTAGATTAGGTATAAAAATAAATTAAAAATATTTAAAAAAGAAGAAAATAAATAAATAAAAATGATGATCATTGAGAGTCTATATTCAGCTTTATATATATACTAGTAAAGAAAGCCCGGGCGTTGCCCGGGCCCAACATACTAGTAAAGAAAGCCCGGGCGCTGCCCGGCTCCAACATTAATAAAGTTATATTGTTATTCTCTCCGTCCCATATTAGATGAGAATCTTACTAAATTTTTTTTTTCCATATTATTTGAGCTCTTATTAAATTAGGATAGAATTAATTAATTCTTTTCCATTTTACCCCTACAATTAATATGACCATTCTATATTGTATGTGTATTTTTTGTAACTCATTTGAATGTGCATTGATATAAAGAAAGGGCAAAATGGTGAAGTCTTCCAATGTATTAATGATTTCTTAATCACCGTGTAAAGTTGGAAGTGCCCATCTAATATGGGACGGAGGGAGTATAGTTTATGTATTGTTATAAAAATAGTAAAGATTGTTATAATATATTTTGCTCATAAGTGAGCTAATATAGAAACTTATTTGTCATTTGTCTTTTTAATTTCAATTTTAAATAGCAAATAAATGTAGCGATAAGATTGAGGGTAGAAATGAAGCATATCTTTCTAAATTTAAGTAAAAATAAACAGAGTAGAAGTAACATTAGGGTTATCGATAGGACGATTCATTCGGTTATTTTTAAAAAAAATTATATCATTCAATTTTTCGGCTATTTTATAATGTATAACCAAAATTAAAATTTTAAAATCATCCCAATCCTAATTTATGTGACACAAGCAGTACAAAGATTAGTATTTTTTCTGTTGTCTTGTAGATATTTTAAGTTATTATTTATTGTAAATTATAGTACTTTTTATTAAAGTTTTTAATAACATATGTTACTTTTTATGTTTGAGAGTTAAACCAACTTTTTTTTATATGTGTTTTGTCCTTTTCCATTTTCAAAATTAATACTCTCTCTATTTTATTTTATATGTCATTTCTTTTTATAAATATATTGGTTATTCCCTCTTCTTATTGGAACACATGTTGACTTGTGGTGTTTGATTATTCCCTCTTCTTATATAGTAAAATATTATAGTACTTTTTATTAAAGTTTTTAATAACATATGTTACTTTTTATGTTTGAGAGTTAAACCAACTTTTTTTTATATGTCTTTTAATTTTATATGTGTTTTGTCCTTTTCCATTTTCAAAAATTAATACTCTCTCTATTTTATTTTATATGTCATTTCTTTTTATAAATATATTGGTTATTCCCTCTTCTTATTGGAACACATGTTGACTTGTGGTACTTGATTATTCCCTCTTCTTATATAGTAATATATATATAGGTTTTACTTTTTGAATTTTTTTTTTTTTCCAAAAACGAGTAAAAATATTTTAAATCAAAATTAAAGCCCAAAAGGTTATCCTCTGTAGGGTTAAAATATATTGTTGAAAAAACACTCCACAGCAGCTGTGACTAGTACACTTTGGGAAAATTTCAGTCTCGGTAAGCATACGGAGCTCAAGTTTGTGGAAACCCAAATGGAATCTGAGGGAGATGAAGACACCCATCAACCCCCAAAATGGAGTAGACCTACAAAACAAGCTCAATTTTCTTCAACTTCAAAGAAAGATTCCTTCTTGACAATTCCTGTTCTTCCAGAAGAACTCATCACTGAAATCCTCTTGAGGCTTCCAGTGGAACCCCTTTTGAAATTCAGGTCTGTTTCGAAGTCTTGGCTTTCTTTGATCTCTAGCCCTGAATTTGTCAAGAGCCATCTTAGTGTATCTGCTAATAACAAAGATTACACTCACCACAGGGTGATGCGTAGTTTTAGAGGTACATTAGATCTTAAAGATTATACTCTTAGTTCTTTATTTTCTGAGTCTGTTACGGAGGTATTTGACTTGAATTATCGCATGACATCTGATGGATTGTATAACGAATGGCCTCACTCTGTAATGATTCTAGGTTCCGTAAATGGATTGATTTGTCTTGTGGGTGAGAGATATGATTTGTTTCTATGGAATCCATCAAATAGAAAGTACAAGAAATTGCCTGATCCTACATCTACAATGTGGTTTGAGCAGTGGCAAATTTATGGTTTTGGATATGATGAGTTTCATGATGACTATAAGCTAGTGGGTGGCTTTTGTAGTGATGACAAATCCAGTCTAGGTGGGCTCAAAATATATAGTTTAAATAGTGATTCTTGGGGAAGTGTTGATGATCATCAAAGTCAGGACGAAATCGATGTTTCAGGTAAGTTTGTGAAGGGGAAACTTCACTGGCCTACAGCTACTGTTGATCATCTAATTATTAACTACAAGGATTGGAATATCATTTCTTTTGATTTGGCTAATGAGAAATGGGGAGAAGTGGAGCATCCTTGCTATAGAGAGGGAGATATCGCTTTGATCCTGGGAGTGTTAGGAAGTGATCTTTCTGTTTTTTGTGATTATAGTAGCTCTCATGTAGATGTTTGGGTCATGAAAGAGTATGGGGTTAAAGAATCTTGGACAAAAATGTTTACCATCAATTATCCTAATCATCTAGTTGGGTATGGTCATGCACTTTCTCGGCCTTCTTTCATTTCAAATAAAGGTGAAATTTTGGTCGTGTTTATTTCAGCTTCTGTGATATGCAACCCGAAGGATGCTTCATTAAGATATTCAAAGGCTATCAACTTTTATGACTATCCTAAGGTAGCACTCTATGTTGAAAGTCTAGTTTGTCCTTTTTCTAGATAAGGTGTTACGGATGCAACAAAAGACAAAAGGCTGAAAGAGCTCAGATCAAGAAAACCAAGTAACAAATAACTTGTAAGAGTACTTTTTTTCTCAAGTTCTGTTAAATTCTGATTGTTATTTCACATATAGAACAAGACAAGTCATATAAAAGGACATCTTTAAACCGTATTGCTTGGAGATTTTGTTAGTCATTTTCCCTTTATGCACTATTTTCAAGGAACAATAAATTTGTCTTCGACTATGAACTAAGTGATGTTAGACATCTTTTCTCTTGTTCCACAGTGTTTTAAAGGAATGTTATGCCTCTAGACAGAGTAAAAATTAAAGAGCACCAGGAACATAGAACTTGTGGCATGTGAATGCACCGATAATGCTGAGGTCCTTCCCAGGGTTATTGTTTGATCTAGGGGCTTCTTTAATTAATCTTTTATAGGTGAAACTTTATAAGGCAAAAAGAGCAAAATCGGTACTTCTGGAATAGGTATTACGGTCTGCATAGTATCTGATTTTGGCTTTTCATGCTTCTGCTAATAGGTAGCTAACTGTTTATTATCTTCTGTACCAGTTTTGATTTTGTCCTTGCTCCTACAGTCGTAGTTACTAGCTGTGTTTTTCTTCAGGTATTATGGTCTACCTACTATCTGTATGTTTCTTCTGGACTTGTTTTGGTGTTCTTGAGCCACTTTATAAGGGAGTACCTTGCTAGGGTAGTGTTTGATCTCGGGCTTATTTTTACTTGTCTTCTTAGGTGAAACTTAAATAGGGAAAAGACGAAATACGGGAATTACTGAATAAGAGTTAAAGTAAGACATACTATCTAGTTTGGTCCTTTTCCTTGCTGCTTATATCTTACTGTTAATTATCTCAAGGACTATCTTTTCATTCTGTTGCATATTTAGTCAATGTGAATCTTCTTTCAGTTTGGTACTAAAGTTGACATGAAGTGGGTTGGAAGGACAAAGCTGTTGAGGAAACACGTTAAGTTGTTATGATCACGCGAGTAGATTGGAGATACCAATGAACAGGGGAATCTAGAGAAATCGATTGGGATCTAAAGCTTTGTTTAAGATGTGAATGCATCCCAGGGTTATTGTTTGATGTAGGGGCTTCTTTAATTAATGTTTTATAGGTTAAACTTAATAAGGCAAAAAGATAAACTTCTGGAATGGGTATTACGGTCTGCCTAGTATCTGATTTTGGCTTTTCTTGCTGCTGCTAATAGGTAGCTAACTGTTTATTTTCTTCTAGACTACTATTGATTTTGTCCTTGTTCCTAGTTTCTAGCTGTATTTTTCTTCAGGTCTTACGGTCTACCTACTATCTATATTTTTCTTCTGGACTAATTTTGGTGCTCTTGACCGAGTCTATTTTGCCTCTAGATGGAGTAATCATAAAGAGGACCAGGGACATGGAAATAATGGCAGCAGAATGTGCCTAATCCTTGCTGGGGTAGTGTTTGATCTCGGGTGTACTTTTACTTGTCTTCTTAGGTGAAACTTAATAGGGAAAAAGACGGATTTAAATCTTTGTTTAAGATGATGCTGTCTTCTAATTACCGAAGTTCAACTCTTTTCGTCTTTGTTATTTTAAATAAGATGTGTCCCTGCTATAAAGAATTCTCTATCTTGTTGCCAAATAGTGTAGCAAATTGTCTCTGTAACTTGACTTTTCTAAGAACTCTCAAGTGCTATGGTGATGTATTACCAAGTAAGAAATTAATAGCCTTGTTTAATGCATTTTACGGAAGGTCTATTTTGTCTGATATCAATGTACTAGCATGATTTTGTGACTTCTGACCGAAGTCAATGTAGCCAAGTATGTACTAACAAGGAAATTTTGCTAATCCTTTTAGGAAAATCATTTCAAGAATTTGGTACATATGGATTAACTAATTCTTGTGGTTCACTTTGTTGATTTCAATCCTTTGTCTGACACTAATTTGAGGGAACAATACGAGGGACAAATGTTTACTCAGTAACTGAGGGAACAATAAGAGGGGTGAAATGAGTCGTAACTGAGGTAACTTTAATTGTACATTTTGTGGAAACAATACGAGGGACAAATGTTGAAAAGCCAAAAGGTTTGTGTGTGGAAATTCTTGCGAGTTAGATTTGATGAAGCTGTGGAGGGTCATGCGCTCTGTGAAGTGCTCCAGCTCTGAATCAAATTACCCATTTTGGGCGGGTCAATATGTTGCATGGGGATCAACATGAGTATATCTTGTGACCCTTTCTTAAGTTTTTATTTTCTTTTGCTATTTTTAAATAGACTACGCCAAACCATTTGTGCACCGCTTTCATGCAGTCTAGACTTGAGATTACTTAACTACCTTATATTTGTTCATTTCACTATTTAGAACGTGAACTGAAGCACCTTTGATATTTCTCAAATGTTGGGAAATGGAGCTCGTCTCTTTGCTCAAATAAGGCCAGCTTGTGTTTAGTACATGTTAAATGTAAAATGTGCCGGAGCTAGCTCTTCATAAGTTGCTTTCTAGATCTACCCTGCTTTTACTTATCATATGAGATGTCAATGAGGTTTTTTTGCAATTTTTTCTGTATTATTCAACTTTCAGGAAGTGAAACAACTATGTTAGGATCACTTAGGAACAACCGAACAACTAATCCACCTGCTAACTGCATGGAGCGCAATGAAGAAACGTGGGCTTTCCCTTGTTTTTACAGTTCATTTGTGATGTACTAATGTTATTACCGTGTGCAATGTATAGAGATAGACTTACCAACATCTGCTAATTGCATTTCACGATGAAAATGAGAACATGTTTTCCAACCTTCAATATGCAAAAATTTACATTATCAATGAGAACTTGCATGTTGAGGAAGCTCGGAATATCATCAATTCCTTTTATCCATTCGACATCAGGACCAAACTTGACTTGGCCATTCAAATCCAAGGAAACATGCACTCCAAGGCCACCAACCTCAGGTATAGGATAAATCAAGTGCTTGAAAGGGGATTTCGTGTTTGAAAGTGTGAAGTAGCAACCACAAGCATAATGAGAAGCAGGTATAATACCGTCAGGTAGACCTTTCATTCGTTTTGCAATGGCTGGAGCGCTTAAACCTGCAGAATTCACTACAACCTTGGGAATAAGAATTAGTTCAGAGTCCAATTCAGAGCTCCCATTCCAGCTTGCAATGACATTGCTCTCAAAAACATGAATTTGAATTTGATTTCCTTCAATATGGCCACCAATAACAGCAGTATTGTAAGAAAAAGTCGTCCCATGACTTTCAGCTTCGCCCTAAACCCATGGTATGGTCATAGTCCTGTCAATATTACATCAATGATTCTATAAAGGTAAACAAATAAAGATAAATCAAGCTCTTCTAAGTAAAGAGGGGTTTTTCCCCAATGTTCTAAAAAAAAATGAGCTCTTTGGATGTTGATTAGCAAACAGTCAATATGACATAATATATTTGGAGACTGAATGATGAGAAGCATTACCACCAGTGATAGCATCAAGGAATGACTATCCACTATTCCTGAGGAAGGCGATCATAAAGCTTTAATAAAATATTGCAATTCGGGTTCCAGTGTAGTAGCTTCATGCCCCTCCATTATTCTCAGACCCTCAACCCCATTTTGAATTCCTCGAGTCATGAGAGCGCTCAACCTTGGAACCTCTGATAATCCAGTAGCAACCATTAGCTTGCCTATCTACTTGTCTGGAATTTCATGGTCCTTGCAATACTTGTAGAACAATTCTCCATGTTGCATCCAATTGTATTCCCAGTTAGTTAGACACTCAACTTTCACCACTAAAGCTTAAGAGATACCTCTTATTTCTCCTCTTCCAAATAGCAGGAAATACTCACTTGATTATTAACTGTATAAAAATTAAAAGTTCCCATTCATGCTTACTCAGTAACTATAGAAGCAACATTAAAGCCATAGACAAGAAACCTGACTGATTAGCAGAATCAAATTCAAACTTTCAATTCAGTCTTGATTGGGAATGTTCTGACTTCTGAAGCAAGATTACAGTAGAAGAATAGAAGAAACTGGATTGATTGGCAGTATCAAAATCCAAACTTTAGCTCGAACAACATGGTTATTAGAAAGACAAAACAGAACAAACTGGATTGACTAGCAGTATAAAAATTGAAACTTCCAGTTACTCTTAGTAGGGAATATAGTCCTTATCAGCATAAAGAAACAAGAAACTCGAATAATAGCAGTATCATAATTCAAACTTTAAGCAAATGCTAAATGGGGTATTCATAAAAATAAGACATAATACATAGACAAACACTAAAACTAAGCCTCAGCTTTCCTTGCCGTAACTGGAAAGTTCACTGGCAGAACTTTCTTAAAACATGCATAACTTTCTCGGATGTCGGATTGATGAATGGTTTAAACTAGACCCATAGACCTCTGCAAGTAAACACTCCAACTTTGAAAGTGCACGTCTAAACACCTAAACTTAATCTCAATTGGCAACCAAACACTTCAACTCGTCCTCACTATTTCTAGTGGACACTCAATGCTAACGTGACACATAGATTATGGAGGTATCCAGATGATCATTTTATAAGTTCTAGTGTTCAACTAACACAATGGAGACAAGTTAAGTTGTCTAAAGTGATTACTTAGCTAGCAGAGCTCAAGTTTAAGTGTCTATTTACATATCATGCCTAAAAATAAAATTCAGACTTCCAGTAACACTTAGGGTGTGTTTGGTATGAAAGGAAAATGTTTTCTTGGAAAACAAGTGGATTTTAATTTATTTTCTCATGTTTGGTTGGTGAGTAGAAAATATTTTCTCGAATAATTTATCTAAGACCCGACCCCGACACCCAAACTAGGACAAGACCCTCACCATTCAAAAATCCGATCCTGAGATTTGACCCAGAACCTGACCAGACTTTTGACCTAGGATTTTTTTTTTCCAAAACCATTTTTTTAAAAAAAAAATTGACGAGGGGGGAGGGGGGTGTTGGGAGTAAGGCTGGCAAACGGATTGGACCGGATCAACAGGACCGGTTTTACCGGAACCGGTACCGGGACCGGTCCTCGTTACCGGATTTCGTTACCGGAACCGGATCTTACCGGAACCGGTTTTACCGGAAATTTCCAAAGGTTCCGTCCGGTCCCTTAGTTACCGGATTGGAACCGGTTTGGACCGGACCGGAACCGGTTCTTACCGGATCATTTTGTACCGGTAACTTTTTTTTATTTTTTTATTAACTTTAATTATTATATAATATTATATTATTAATTAATAAAATTATATTATTAAAAAACTTCAATTTAAAACTTTAAACTTTAAAGTTACT